TAAATAAAAAGTCCTTAGGAGCAACAAAAATGATTTCAGTTTTCCTACTTGATGTAGAAAAGAGGACTATTTGGATCCTGTATTTATCCATTCTCTGGTCTGTCTGCTTAAGTGTCCTAAGGTATAAACTAAGCCATTGTCAATAGTTTAAGTAAGTTAAGACATAGACTTATACTTTATAAAGTATTAAGAAATATTACTGCTGCAAACGCTACTGCAATCGTTAAAGAAAGCGACTAGTCACAAAACAAATAGCATCCGCTGGACAAGGTACGGAGAACTTACAAGCGTTTTCTCAGTCCTGATAAGAATCTGAGGATGTGCACAATTATTATTCACAATTTAAAAATTAATACAAATTAAACAAGTAGCTCAAGTCTCCATTGTTGTCAGATAGCAAAACTAACATGCAAATTCAGGTCGCCTGAGTCTTAATCCTATTAAAAATTCAAGGTGTGGTTTTTTTAATGGCACCCAGAAACAAAATGTGGGTGCCTGAGATTATTCTCAGTAATATTGAGTTTGCACTTTAGAATTTCCTTATATTACTGAAATTTAAAGTATATTTAATTTTCTGAATTCATAGTAACAACTGATAGAAATCATGGAATTTATAGGAGAAAGTATTCTTTTTTTTTTTTTTTTTTACTGGCTGGTAGAATTAAAAGTTTGTTGTTTCAGTCAAAGATCTCTCAATGATAGAGGCACATGTTATTATCAGCTACATTACAGTCAGTTGTGTTCTATTCTCCACATTTTTTTTATTTAAAATAAATCAGCCAAGCCACACCACTAGGAGCAGAGTAATTGCCTATCCAAGGCCTACTGGGGTTGGGGATTATCTTGGGACAATGTCCCACCTGTTGCCGATTGTAATATATATGCCCATTCTTTATCAGACCTGTTTCTAAAACATGAAGGAAAATGTTGCCAGCCTTTCCTGAAAAATACAATTCTACAAATTCAGATTTCTAGATGGTGCTAAGGTAGGTGATTTATTCCCTACAGCATCAACAAATGTCAGTTGTGAATGTAGCAAAGAAAATGGATTAAAATGGATTTATCTGAGATAAAATGTGTCTTTGCTGACTCCCTCTGAGGCTTTCTGTTTGTTGGCTCTTGCTTTATGTTGTTTATTTCCTTTGAGTTTTCCCGTGTATGTGGCCTGAGGAAATCGGCAGAAGGTGATGGTGGCATAGATATAAGTTTATCTTATCCATTACAATTACAGAAAATCACTGCTTGGCCAGGCACAGTGGCTCAGGCCTGAAATCCTAGCACTTGGGGAGGCTGTGGCAGGTGGATTGCCTGAGCTCTCAGGTATGAGACCAGCCTGAGCAAGAATGAGACCACATCTCTTAAAAATAGCTGGATGTTGTGATGGGTGGTGCTTATAGTCCCAGCTATTGAGTAGGCTGAAGCAAGAGAATCCCTAGAACCCAAGAGTTTGAGGTTGCCGTGATCTATGATGCCATAGCACTTATGTTAATAATCTCTAGCCAAATATAAATGCTAGTTTTTCATTACCAAGCTTTTAAATGTACATGGTCTCATAGCCCTACATGACAACTTTGCATAATAAACACGGGAGTTACAATTTAACAGAGTAAGCTAGATTTTATAAATAAGAAAAATATGACTAAGGGAGAAATGATTTGTATTGGTCTAGTCAGAATTAGAGCCCAGTCTCTGGCCAATTACCTCTTTCCTGTTCTTCCTTCCAAACTGTGGCTCCTTGCACGCAATTGACACCACATCTAAGCCAGGTAAACAGACTGTAAACACAATGAACTGAAATCTTCCTGTAGATTGCTGCTCACTAATGGAAAGTGGGATGTTGGTAGTTCTGGGAGCAATGACAGAGACTTTTCTAAATTTGGTACATTTTCGGTATTTTATTATTAATGTTAAATCTGTAATTAGATGTCTTACAAAAAAGACCAAGAAACTTGTTTTATTCCAGTTGTCTCTATAGAAATCTTCTTTACTCCATTTTTGACAAATGAACATTACATACATATCACCTTAACTCCCAAGGAAAGGCAAATCTATTCCTGCTGGGTAGCATAATTTCTTCACTGAGAGCTTTTCCTCTAAGATTTTTGTGTAATAATTCGGATCTAAGTCTCCCTGTGATGTTACCCGTGTGATACTCTGTCCTCAGGAGAGATTGAGGAATATTCTAAATGTAGATGTCAAGATGATGCAATTTGGAATCTGAGCATATTTCAGGTCACAAGGGTACAGTGGGTGAAATTCCACCAATATTTATTCCTGATGGCCCTTCCAACTTGCTTAATCTATTTTTAGAGTCAAACATCCCTGACTGAACCAAATATATCAAGGAATGTTTAGAGATAAATACCTTTGGATAGAGGGGAAATTTAAGGAGTAGACCTTACATGGGAGACCAAAAGTACCACTCTTTATAGCTTTTTATAAATTGGAAGGTTTTGTGCAAACAAATCTCTTCCAAATAGGAAAAAAAAAAACAAAAACATATCTTAGTGTTCCATTATGGGGAATAACATTCCTTGAATTTGTTTGGGACAGAAAAGTCAGAGGCCATAGAAAAATCAAACTTGTGACCTAGGGTAAGAAACCTCATGCTATATCCTTATGTAATAAAACACAAAGCCGGTCTTAGCACTTTGCCATCAGTGGTACATAAATAAATGAATAAATAAATAAATAAAATAGCTTGCAACTGTATTTAATAGAGTTTTTAATAGAGAAATAGCACTGAATTTGGAATCAGTTTGGTGAATGCATAGCATATAGCCATGAACAAATGACTTACTTTCCCAGATGTTTAAAGGGAAATAAATGTTTATTCTTATGATTTTGATAAATGCATAAAGTAATAACTGATGGAAGTTCTCTGCTTTTACTATAGCTAATTTTATCAAATTTTCTGAAGGACTAACCTAGGAATCTCTCATTTTGAAAACAACTTTTTATGTACAAAATTAATAGGTAATGTCATTTTAATAAAGTACAGAAAACTACTGAGAAGAAAGTTCTGATTTTCCTGTATCATATATACTGGTGATTAACAAAGTGAAACTCCAGCCTTACATTTATGTATTTTACTTTAGAGTATCATGGGGTACACACATTTTGTTTACATATTTTCCTTTTGAACTTTTTAAGTCAAAGTTGTAAGTGTGCTACTCATCCAGAATCTATGCACTGAACCAGTTAGGTTAGAAGTTACCCTACACACTCCTGAGCACATCTAGTTAATCTCCTTTGCCTTTTACTTCCATGTATGTCCAAATAATATTGAGTACATGTGGTGTTGGTTTTTCCATTTTTGTGATACTTCACTTAGGAAAATGGTCTCTAATTCCTCTGAGGTTATTACAAAAGATACTAGATTACTATCTCTTTCATGGCTATCTAATATTCTATGGTATACCACAATTTCTTAATCCACTCACATATTGCTATTTTTTATTTATTTGAGACAGAGTCTTACCTTGTCACCCTCAGTAGAGTGCTGTGGTGTCACAGCTCACAGGAATCTCAAACTCTTGGGCTCAGCCTCCCAAGTAACTGGTGTCACAGCTCACAGGAACCTCAAACTCTTGCCTCAGCCTCCCAAGTAACTGGAGATACAGGTGCCCACCACAATAACAATACCCAGCTACTTTTAGGGACAGGGTCTTGCTCTTGCTCAGGCTGGTGTAGAACCTATGAGCTCAGGGAATCTACCTGTCTCGACCTCCCAGAGTGCTAGGACATGAGCCACTGTGCCTGGCCTCGTAGAATTTTATTTTTAATTTAATGTATGCTCAGAGGCGAAAAACATTGGATGCACTCTTGGTCACAGTGAGCTTTATTTTCTTTATTAATATGAAAAATTTGTCATTGTCTTCAAAATATTCCAATACATATTTCAATGATTGCATAGGCATGTTGTATTAATTAATAAATTACTCTCCAATGTACACTATTCTTGAATGTACGTGTGTGACATAAAAATTGATGTATGTAAGAAAATAAAAGAATACACACATTTTAAAGCTATTAACATATAGACTAAATTTTTCATCACTAAGTTTAGAACTCATTATATTCCAGCCAGTATTGTATGAGAAAACATATTTGCAGGTCCTTTAGTCACACTAGCAATATTTATTTACTTATTTTTTCAGACAGTCTCACTCTGTATCCCAGGCTAGAGTGCAGTGGCACAATCATAGCTTACCTCAATCTCAAACTCCTGGACTCAGGCAAACCTTTCCTGTTAAACCCCTGGGTAGTAGGACTACAGGTGTGTGTCGCCACATCCAGTTAATTTTAATTTTTTTTGTAAGGATGGGATTTGGCTATACGGTCCAGGCTAGTCTCAAACTTCTGTCCTCAAGTAATCCTCCTGCCTTGGTCTCCCTAAGTACTGGTATTTTAGGAAGGAACCACCAGGCACAGCCCAAGTCCAAATTTAAATCCTGTTATCTCTTGCATAACTACCATGATTTTAACTAGACTGGCAACCAATCTTCCAAGAGCACAGATATTTTTCTGTTAATTATATAACTGTGGAAATTTTTTTCCCAACATTTTTCTCAATTCTTCTTTATATGGAAGAATGTGATTTTAGGATTATGAAAATATAGCTTTGCTTCTAAAGATTTTGCCAACTCTCATTATTCTACCAGGTCTCATCACATGAGCCACATTTATGTTCTTTCAGCTTGGAAAGAATTAATATCATCATGAAATGAGAATATCTTTTAAAGAGGATTGTGAAACACCACCATCTGAATAAGATTTTCTTCTACCAATAATGATCTTTAATGAATTTCTTTTAGAAAAGGACAAAAACATAAACAAAATAATATTACAGAAAACATCACATCTGTGATTTTATTAACTTTCCACTTGCTTCCAACAGAATAGAGAATAAAGATACTGTGAGGTCATCTACATCCCAGGCCAACTCATGTCTTCTGATATCATCTACTGCCAGTGAGAAAGACAAGGAAACTAAGAAGATGTTGGACAGTAATTACACCATGCCAACGGAATTTGTATTTGTTGGATTCACAGATTATCTCCCTCTCAGAGTCGCACTGTTCTTGGTATTGCTCATGGTATATACGGTAACTGTGGTGGGAAACATGGGTTTAATAATTCTGGTTTATGTTAACTCAAGCCTTCAAACCCCCATGTATTATTTTCTCAGCAACCTGTCTTTCTTAGACATCAGCTACTCTACAGCAATTGCTCCTAAAATGCTGATAAATTTCTTAGCATCCAAGAAGAGCATCTCTTCTTATGGTTGTGCCCTGCAAATGTTTTTCTTTGCTTGTTTTGCTGATGCTGAGTGTCTGATCCTGGCGGCGATGGCCTATGACCGCTATGCAGCCATCTGCCACCCTCTGCTCTATTCCACACTCATGTCCAGGAGAGTCTGTGTCTGCTCCACTGTGCTGGCATACTTCAGTGGGAGCGTGACTTCACTGGTGCACGTCTCCCTCACGTTCAGGCTGCCATTTTGCGGCTCCAACCTCGTCAACCATTTTTTCTGTGATATCCCGCCTCTCCTGGCTCTGTCCTGTGCAGATACTCACATCAACGAGCTTCTGCTCTTTGCCTTGTGTGGCTTCATCCAGACCAGCACTTTTGTTGTCATATTTCTCTCTTACTTCTGCATCCTCATCACTGTGTTGAGCATCAAGTCCTCAGGTGGCAGAGGCAAGACATTCTCCACCTGCGCTTCCCATCTGGTAGCCGTCACCTTGTTCTATGGGACCCTTCTCTTCACATACTTACGCCCCACTGCCAGCTATTCCCCGGAAACCGACAAGGTGGTCGCAGTGTTTTATACTGTTGTTTTCCCCATGTTTAACCCAATAATCTACAGCTTCAGAAACAAGGATGTGAAAAATGCCCTCAAGAAGCTATTAGAAAGAAATTGTATTTTCACTTGAGTACAGATGTAAATCATTAAGGATATCTAAAGCCAAGCCCACCCTTCCAATCCCATTATCTTCAGTTATGTCATGAACATTCTTATGTGTCAACTATTTTAAATTTACCACATTTTCCAGAAATGAAGTCAATGTTTTGTCCTCAATGCCTTAAAATTTTTCATTCTATCTTCTAGAATTTGTCCTCTTCAAAATCATTCCACTCTCTAAAACATTGCTGAATTAAAAATAATAACAATTGATATCCATGTGTTCCAAAGAATACTCCATACATTGATTTATCATGTTGTATTGAAGGCGTATATTGAATTGTCAGTCAATTGATTCCCATCTCCTTTATCATTAATAGATGCTCCTTGGAAGCATGGAATATGTGTACTAGTTTCTTTTTCCAACATGTGTATAGCACTTGATGTATGGCACATTCTCCTTACCTGTGTTTTTAAGGGATGAATGGTTGGGATGGAGAGATGGATGGTTAGATAGGTGAATGGGCAGGTATATATAACCTTTATTGTTTTGAAAATGAGTCTGGATTTACAGTTTGTAAAACTTTTATCAACAGGGAATTTTTTTTTCATAGACAGAATCTCACTTTGTCCCTTCAGTAGAGTGCTATGGCATCATAGCTCACAGCAACCTCAAACTCCTGTACTCAAAGGATCCCCTTGCCTCAGCCTCCCAAGTATCTGGGACTACAAGAGCCTATCACAACACTTGGCTATTTTTAAAGATGAGTCTCACTCTAGCTTAGGCTGGTCTTGAACTCCTGAGCTCAAGCAATGCACCCACCTTGGCCTCCCAGAGTGCTAGGATTACAGGCGTGAGCCTGACTATCAACAGGGAAATTTTAAGTTACCAATTATGGGTGATAGTGGTGATGAAGATGGTTTTGCTGGCTGTTAGGAAATCTGGCATATCACAATCATCTCATTAGTATTATTCAGTCAGAGTAAAATTTTATCACATCATCTCTCCTTGGGTTAAATTGATTACCGCAACAGACCCTCTACTCTAATTAACAGTGAGTATTCAAGAAAACCAAACAAGTGTGTGAATAACATGAGATTATAAACTTTATAAATTACTGTTTATTTCTGTGCTGATAATGTTACTGACATTATGTTCAAAGCACTATCTTTAAAAAGAGGTGAAAACTGCTCTAACAATTTCATTCTGTAAATTTACAATGCAAAACCAATAGAATTGTAAGTATTTTTCCTCCAGGATCAATTTTGATCATCAAGTTATCAGATGTTTTTCTAGTTTCTGTGGATTCTTTAGCTTTTGTTATTTACTTTGTTTTACTTTGGCAGAGTTAAGGTAATAAACTGTATTCATGTGAACACATAACACTGTGAATTTTGTAATAATTATGGAAGTATAAATGACTAAGTACATTAAATATATCTAAGGAATCAATAAAACATCATATACTGAAATGAGGATTTAATAGGCGATGTATGCAAAGCTCTCTCTCTCTCTCTATATATATATATATACATATATATACACACACGCACACACATATATATGATTTGTGGATTAAATTGTCCTATCTGGGGCGGCACCTGTGGCTCAAAGGGGTAGGGCGCCAGTCCCATATGCTGGAGGTGGCAGGTTCAAACCCAGCCCCGGCCATAAATGGCAAATAAATAAATTTAAAAAAAAAAGTTAAATTGTCCTATCTGTACAGTCATACTACAGAAATATTGAGAGTTCAGTTCCAGACCACTGCTATAAAATAAATATTACAATCAAATCTGTAACATGAACTTCTTGGTTTTCCAGTATATTTAAAATTTATCCTTAATTATACTGTAATATATTAAGCATGCAGGAGGATAATGTCTAAAATCCATGCATAACTTAATTTAAAAATATTTTATTGGTAAAAGTGCTAACAATCATCTTGGCCTCAGTGACCTGTAATCTTTTTGCTGCTGGAGAGTCTTGCCTCAGTGTTGATAGCTACTGACAGAGGAAGGTGGTGATTGCTGAATGTTGGAGTTGTGGAAATTTCTTAAAACAAGAAAATCATGAAGTTTGCCACATTGATGACACTTAATATTATGAAATATTTCAGTGTAACATACAATGTTGTATGATGATATTTTATCTACAGTAGAACTTCTTTCAAAACTGGTTTCAGTTCTCTCAAATCCTGGCATTGTTTTATCAACTATGTTTATGTAATATTCTAAATCCTTTGTTTTCATTTCAACAATGTTCAAATCATCTTCACTGGGAGTGGATTCTATCTCAAGAAACCACTGTCTTTTCTCATCCATAAGAAGCACCTCCTTATCTATTCACATTTCTATTATGACATACAAGAATTGAATTACAAATTCAGGTACCACTTCTAATTCTAATTTTCTTGCTATTTCCATCATATCTGCTGTTACTTCCTACATTAAAGTCTTCAGCCCCTCAAAGTTATCCATGAGGGTTAGAATCAACTTCTTCCTTTTTATGTTCCTGTTCTTATTTGTTCCTAAGAATAATGAATGTTTCTAGAATAGTAAATTCTTTCCAAAAGTTTTAAATTTACTTTGCCCACATCCATCAGAAAAGTCACTATCTATGGTAGCTATAGCTTTGTGAAGTATATTTCTTAAATAGAATTTGAAATTATAAATTACTTCTTGGTCTGTGGAATGCAGAATAGACTGTTTTGGCAGGCAAGAAACTACATTAATCTTCTTGTATGTCTCCATTAGAGGCTTTGGGTGACCAGGTCCATTGCTCATGTGCAGTAATATTTTGAAATAAAGCACAACGATCTGGTTGTATCCACCATCATTATTGAGAAGCACGACATGTGGCCTTTAATATATGTTAAGAATGCAACCATTTCTCTGTTAGCTAATAAGAGTATGAAATCCAATCATCAAATGCCATGGTCAAACTCTGTGCTCTAGACCTTTTTAGGAATCTCATAATTAATTTGTTCTGAGAGCCAAGTTTTTCATATAGCTTGTCCTTGAGAATAAAAGATAAGCTCTAAAATTGAGACTATTAAGTATAACAGAATTCTGGCTTTGCCAATAAGGAGTACCACCACACCTCCTGATAGCAAGGCCTGGGGCACCAAGCTTTGCAGCTGCAGCTGTACAAACTGTTAGGATGTGTAACTTGAGCTGCTGCATCAGCATTTGTTATGGTTGTACGCTTTCCTGTGAATCTTAGTTGCTGAAACCAGCAACAGCCATTCATTTTGCTCATGTATCTGTTATTTGGATAAAGACGATGTCTTCCGGCTTTCCAACATTCAGCATACCCTTTGTGATCACTCAGACATCTGGGGCTGGAATAGCTAGAGGTCAGCTGGGTATCTATTTTTCATCTCCTCGTAGCACATCTTTCCTTCGTGTAATGTTTTCTTCAACAAGATGGTCTCGGAGTAGTCCCAGAGCAAGTGTTCCAAAAGACCAAAGTCGACATTGCAAGCTTCTCATGTTCTAGCCTTAGAAGTCCCAGAGTCTCACTCCTATTTTCTTCTATGGAAAAATCAAGCCACTAATGCCACCCGCATTCTCAGGGAGAAGAGTAAGATCTGAATCTCCTGAGAAAGAGTCACAGTGAGTTCACAGCCATCTTTGTTCCATCACAGCATCCTGTTGTAATTAACAGAGTTAATAGAACCATAATCGATTATCTTGAACCCTGTATAGTTTTTGCAGAAATCTATAACAGGACAGGAAAAAAGGAATTGGCTTAGGGAAAATTAATATATAATTTTAACTCCTTCTCATTCAAAATGGCTAGTTCTGTAATAATTTACACCTTCCAACTCATGATTTATACAACTTCAACTAAAAATGACTGTGAACATAATTGCTGACATTTTTGCTGGACAGAATTATGTAGCTTTAGGATAGGGAACATAACAAAAATAAATGTGATAACACTGAAGCCTTATTCTAAACCAAGGTACAACACAGCTAAGATTCCTCCAAGAGACAATGTCTGAATTTGCTAGATAGATACTTAAAATAATAATCTAACAAACTGCAGTGGATCACCCCTGAAATCCCCAAAATATTGGGAGACTAACACAGAAAGATCACTTGAGGGTGGCATGAGCTATGAGTTCTCCAGTGCACTCTGCCTGGGCAGTAGAGTGAGATGCTGTCCAAAAAAGGAAAAAAAAAAAGAAAAAAACCCTTAGGGGGAGGGAAACCTGGGGGGGGGGGACAAAACCCTGGAAAAAAAGATCTGGAATTTTTCCAATTGCAGGATGTGCTGATGTTGATCTATAGACACATGATGTGTTGTTCACGGTGCACCTGCCTCCCTGGGTGCTTAGCAGAATCACTTTGAAGTATCAAACCTCTCAGACGCTGGCCAATCATTCCCAAGCTAATGTGTTTTCCCCCAAACTATATGGTCTTTCTAACTATTTATAACTATTTAGTATAGCATGATAAGCAGAATCCCAATTGTTTTTATCATCCCTCCATTACCTCTACTCAGTATAAGGCCACTGAAAACTTGTAAATAGGCAATTTTTACAGTCCTCTAGTAACTACAAAGTATTCCTTAGCATCCTTAGCATTCCAAACAAAAATATAATCATGAAAGGAAGAAAAATAGGCCTGCAAAAAAGAAGGATTGAGTAGCCAATCCCAGAATGCAGGACACATTTATCTATGGTTGACAGAGAGAGGTAGACTTTTGTCCATGTGGGAAGAACAGCTTTATCTTAATAGCACATTTTCCAGGGCAGAGTTGCCAGGTGAACCAACCAGGCAGTAGGTGTTCTTCTCATGATATAATCAGTATCGTGTAAACAAGGCTGACAGCTATAGCTACAGTGTGAGGACCTGTAGCTGGTAGGCAAATAATGGCACTCCAAAGAGTCACTTTAACAATTGTAAGTTGAGAAGCACCAGCCTTTCCCATGGCTTGATCATAACTAAGAATCTGTGGCACAGGTCACATGCTTGTGAATTTATGGGCCATCTTGGCCTTCATAGAGAAGAGAACATAATCTT